ATAACTTACTTTTTTTTCCCTAATTGTACCCAATATGCACAGGAACTCCTATCAATATTACCCATCAAGACATTACCTACTGTATTCACATTTCTATATCAATGGTCATGGTCACCAAGGTGTGGAGAATGTCTGTGTACCCTGTTTTCAGGAATGAATTTCTTGGTGGAATATTTCTATTGCCCTTATGCCTCCATTTTGGTTCATTGAACTTTTAGCACTCATGTATGACTGCTAGTGCAGTCAACCCATGCATAAGACCAGGCCATGCCTGGGCCTTTGCCATGGCCCGCCTGGGTGACTAGACTAGGTTAGGCTTAGCCTTTGTACATCTTGCCCAAGAGGAGCCAGGAGGTGATGACCAAAAAACCCTGACAAATTATCTACCTTATTAAATTTTATAAAGCTCTTGATCATCATCTGTAACAAGTGAAAATAAGGGATTGAAAGTGAATGTAGCTTGACTTAGGCTATCAGTTAGAAAACAGCCTTCAACTTCTCCAGATCCAAGTTGAAATACTGTCTGTATCCATTGTTCACATGGAATCAGCTCTGAACCTATGGATATTGGAATATCATACTAAATCTTAAGTCAGTCACCATTCTCATTTCATCTTCCATTTGGTAACCCCAGGAAGAATGCTTCAAACATTTGATTATCATTAGTTTTGAAAAAAGTTGACTCAACTGACACCTCTAGGCCTGTTTTAAACTTGTAGAATTTAGAGGGGTGGTGTTGAATTGTTTTTTAAATTTTACTTTGAATTGTTGCTCATGCTACTAGCTTTCACTTCATAGCCCATGTTGTGATCAAAGGTGTGCAGAAAATAGGATTTAAAAAAACTACTCATGAATATGAATTTGAACCTATTTAACTTTGAGCTGAGTTGTCTTGATTTTTTTGTAAATTGGTGGGAATGGTCTAATATTGAGATTCTTTGCCAGTTGATATGGGATTCAGAAGGTGACAGCGTGTGATCTGCTTGTTTGATTTCCTTGGAGCATTTTAAAGATATTGCCCATACCAACTCGTAATTCATGTTAACTAGACTTAAGATTACCTATATTATTTAAAGAAGTGTAGCACATTGTGAATATGTGTGCAAATGCCTAGGAGGCTTGTCTATCATAAGAAGAAGTAGGCCCCAGCCAATATTTTTTATTGTATTTGATATTTCCTATATTGCCAGTAGAAATATTCATTTCCCATGGATTGGTATTATAAATGGGAGGACCTTTGACCTGGGTAGGCTTCTGAAGGAAGAACATTTTGATGCAGGATCCCTATCCCTCTGTTTCCATTTTTGTTCTTGAATATTGCTCAATAATTCATGAAGTAGTGTATAGACAGACCTTGACAATGGGCCCAAGTACCTTTGAGTAACATATACTTAAACTTTTCTTGCATGTGGACTTAGCTTTGGCTTATTTGATTTTAATTTTTTGATGGAATGGTCCACTTTTGAATGCAGTGATCTGATCTCAGGATCCTCCATATACGTGAAAAGCATGGGGACCTGACCGTAATCCCCATGAAATCCAGACCTTGTGTGACTTGTCTAGTCAAAGTGTGAGTTATATGACGCCAACCCTAGCGAATCCGACAAAGAGAGAGAGGAGGATGTGTGCCCCAGGACTGCGGCTGTCGTGGAACAGCCATGACTCCCAGATCATTGGGATCTTTGGGAAACTGTGGGAATCTCGTGCCCTCTGTGATGTGACCCTTGCGTGCCAAGGAGGCACCATTCGGGCCCACAAGCTCATTCTGTCTGCCTGCTCCCCCTATTTCCAGGTATGGCTAGCTCATGCTTTTGGCATGTTTTTCAATAATTGCATGTCTTGTTTTCAGAATATTAATACGTCTTATTGAACACTTTAACTGTTATGCAGGATGCTGGTAAGTTGTAAGCCCTTGTATTTGAAGAGGCCATATGACCTACTGGCAGTTAACACATTGAAAATATATGGTCAGTCTCTTTGTTACAAATGTAAAATTTCTGCTCATATGATGCTTTATCAACCCTGCCCTCAGTAATGGGAGTGGTGCTTCCCAAGCAGTAGAGATGTTGCACATGCACACACTGAATCATGATCTTCTGGTGCTAATCATTCTTTGAGAGAAAAAGGAGCATGTGCCAATGCTGCAATTGTGATACCCTTCTTGATGGGAGGTAGTGGATATGGAAGAACTTCCATATCCACAAAGATATATGAATACCTAGTATAGCTTGGTGCCTCCCTGGTTGTGTTTGATGAATAAGATTGGCCTAAGAGACTTTCAGTTAATTTGAAGGCAATAATGAGCCAGAATTCCCTGCAAACATCCTACTTGTAATTCTGTTTATGATATGTAATATCTTGGAAATGCTAGAAGCTGTATGAGTACCTCTTGTCTTGAGAAGCAGAAGGGTAAGAAGGATAATGTATAATACCCAAGGGATGTAGATGAGTCATTTAATCTTGTACACTGTGTATGTATATGGTACACTGTCATGGGAAATAACTAAAAATGTTGCTCATTTAAATAATAAATATTCCACCAAGAAATTCATTCCTGAAAACAGGGTACACAGACATTCTCCACACCTTGGTGACCATGACCATTGATATAGAAATGTGAATACAGTAGGTAATGTCTTGATGGGTAATATTGATAGGAGTTCCTGTGCATATTGGGTACAATTAGGGAAAAAAAAGTAAGTTATAAGATCCTAGATAATAGGGAGGAAAAGACCAACATAAAGAGTAGTATCCTTGAGTGTCTGTTTTTGTCAACCAGAATTATGAATGAATGCTCTTCAATGATTCCAGGAACTTTTTGAGGAGAACCCATGCCACCATCCCACTGTGGTTCTGAAGGATGTTTCATACAGCCACCTTGTGGCCCTGCTGCACTTCATTTACCGTGGTGAAGTGGAGGTGGAGCAGACAGAGCTGCAGGAGCTCATCATGGTAGCTGCCAGCCTTCGCATCCGGGAACTCACCGAGATTGCGTCTCAAATAAACTTAGGTATGATTTACTGGACATGACATGGTCGGGTTTGTTTTACAATATTGTGCCTTGAAGGTTGTAAAGGAAATTTACGTTACAGGTGAAATGAAGTGGAACATTGGAAAACCATCAATATTGAGAAAATTTTGTGAAATTGTTGACCCATTCCTTTACCTAAAGTAGATTGAAACTATTCATGAGTAGTATTTTCCAGTGCATTCTCATTGGTCCCCATTTAGATGCATTGCATAGTTGATGTGATAGGCCTAGTTTCTCTTAGTCATCTTGCTTGCAATGTGAAAGAAATTCATGATAAAAATCTTTTGCTGGGGATATATCTGAAGCACTCAGACTATATTTGTTTTAGGTTGTACTTTTTTGTTCAAGGATTCACAATTAGGCCTTTGAACCTCGGGTCCTTGAGTCCCTGAGACATGTGACTAAGGCCGATTATAAGTGTCAGATGTGTTGATGGGTTTGTTAAAATAATAAGGGATATTGGGTGTTGACATGGTATTGGTAATACCACCCTCCAAGACCTATTCATACTATATATCTGTTAGCATTGGTGTAGTTGTGCTGTGGACTGACATTTCTTCATGATGTCACTTGTACCATGTACAAAGTAAATTGCCACATCACAGTTATGTTCACATTTTCAAACAACACCGAAACAGTTACAGCCTGCTTTACAAAAGTAAGTTGGAAAGGGTTTCATAGAATGTGAGCTGAAAAAAACAATAGAAAAGAGTAACATTCATATTAGAAAATCCTTTGTGGAGTTTTCCTTTTAAAATCTTTTGGGAAGAAGGAAATACCAACAATGGAACTCCCTGTTTCTCTCAAAACTTCAATGTAAAGATCTACAGGGGTTTTTCAAGTGCATGCAATTCTTTCTTTTGGGTTGAAGTTGCCTTGTCCAGATGTCTTTCTCAGACAAACTTTATCTGCATTGGTTGCAGAGGAGTTCTCTTCTTCGAACTCGACCGCTCCTCCGGCAAAGCGTCTCAAGTCAGAAACTCCAACGGTGATGGCTGCAAATGGAGAGGCCAGTAGAGATTCAACCACTGCAGAGGGTGATGCCCAGGCATTGGTGGGTCCCCTTCCCATAGCTCTCTTTCCATTTCATAGTGAAATCTTGAATGTTACTCTTCATGGAATTCTTATCCATTTCTGATACTATTATCATTGATTCCTTGTTTTGGAAATGATCACCTGGTGTCTGCTTGAAGAAAAATTGCCAAGAAACTTAAATTTGCTTGTTATTAGCCTGTTGTTACTTAAATTGGGAGGGAATTTTTTCACCATTTGAGCATTATACTGATTTTGTGCACCTTGGAGCATCTTGTAGATCTTTGGAGAAATTAGATGCCTCTTTTGGGATCTTGTCACCTGAGTCTTATTACTCTCATAAAATGATAGGATTCCTGGCAAAAAACACAATTTTTTGCACTTATCAACCTTTTAAATTTCCAGTAGCATCACAATTAATGTTGTAATATTGGAAATTGCCATTGTGATGCCATCATTCAGATGCTATTCCAGCATGGAAGTGTAAATTCTTTAGATCATTTTACATATTGGGTTGCTTTGGATGGTTGGATGCAGAAGCGAGCATCTGAGGAGGTGGATCCCCTGGGAGATGCATCTGCTGATGGAGAAGGGGAAGCTGGGGGTGGTGGGGAGACATCAGTGCTGGGTCTTGCATCATCTGTCATGCCCAGCAGCAGCAGCCAAGCCGATGAAGATGCTGCCGACAAGGACTCCACAGGGCCAAAGGTTTGGGTGGCTGCTACCACAGCTGTGGATAGCACTACAACACCCTCCTCACAGGATGAACCCTCATCTCAGAATGCTGTTAGTTCCCTTTTTATTTCTCTTCCATTTGCTGTATAATTCTTTTTTTTTTTTTAACCTTGTATATATCCAAGGAAATAATTTATTGGAGAGCAGAAAAACTTGACCTACAAAAAATAAAAGACATTTGTATGTATATGGTAGGTACTGTAATAGCCTGCATTTTGTGGTAGGTCAGTTTAACTCATGATATGCCTTCAAACCAGGAATAGTAAGGTTTGCTTGCAGATTGGACAGCTTGTCTGATTGCTTTGTTGGAAGAGAATGGCAAGTGTTATGTTATACATGATATTCATAAATACAATCCTCCTCTTTTCAGAAAGAGATTAGAACTCTGCTATTCTGTATGAGTTGCAAATTTATATTTTATGTGAATTACTGTCTCCTTTTCTGGGTCACCTTGACTACTTCACTGGCTGCCTACTTTGTGACATGCCATCATAACAGTGTTCAAATGGCACTGGTGCACCAGTTTACCTTCATTTGAGCCAGGATGCAAGTTCTCATGTCTTGTTCAGTACTTCAACCCTCCCATGTTATCAGCTGGAAAATAACTTGAGGGCTGTCTGGATTCTCTGTTGATCCCATTTTATTATTGACTACATTTGCCTAGATTCATGGCAACAGCAAGAGTCAGATAACACGATTTTCATTTATGGGCAGTCCACAATGTATAAAAATAGATATAAGGTATTTATTTGGATTATACAATACATCAATCATGGTGATTTCAGGAGTTTTCAACCCCATGGGGTTGAAAAAGGACCCAGACAGCAAAGAAGGGTTAAACTGAATCTGTTGATCTGTAATGCTGATATACTGCAAAATCCTGAGTTATTCATTATTTAAGGCAATTTTAATATATTCTCTAGAATAATATATTATATACCAACAGTCAAGTTAGTTATGTCCCTTGAGATTCTTAAACATTGGTCATATGCCTTAGAACTTTATGCTGTGAAATGGGATGATATTCAATTGACATTCACCTACTGTAGTCATTAGCAAAGAGACTGGGATTTTGTCAAGTACCTAATGGGTTTTGATTACTTGTTATGAATTCTGGTAGGAATGCTTCCAGGCACCAAAGCTATTCTCTTGCAAATGTATCTAATTATCTGGCAGAAATGCTCTTCAGGAGGTGTTGTGAATGTGGTTATTTTATTTCAGCTAGATGATAATGAACTTGAAGGTAGTATTTTTTGTTTAGGAAAAGACATATTGTACTTACCTCACAGTTGACTTACATGGTTTTCGTTACCTTGCCCCATGCCTTGTTCTTTGGAGCAAGGTTTATTAGCTTTTTTGAGTCTTGTATGAAAAGTTTCATCATGATCATCACCAATTCATTTGTGCTCAATACACTATCACAAGAGGGTGTATTCATGTCTAAAATTCGGTATTGTCTCTGGTCTTCCATAGTGAATGTGGTCATGTGATCATACTTCACTAATAAGCATAACAGTATAGGCTTATTCCTAGAGCATGCACAACATCCATCTGCCAACCTCAGTTGACTATTCTACTGCTGATTGATCTCTTGTGTTTGCCAGTATTTATCAGCATGCTTTTGTCATACTGATAGAAGAGAGGTGGAAGAGTCCATTTATATGAAACTCATTAGCATGCAATAATTGGCCGATGCTGTCACTAAATTGCATTGGAGCTTTAAATTGAGGTGGAGATGGATTGCTAACTATTTGAAGGACTCTGAGGAGAGGGACCAGCAGGCGCACCGTCCGCACAAGTGCCAGCTGTGCGGGAAGGGCTTCCGACTCCGTCAGTACCTTTCGGAGCACCTCAAGCGCCACCTGGCCCGGGAGTACACTGCCCTCCAACACATGGATCTCTGCCAGAGCCCCTTCCTTGAGATGGCAGCACGTCAGCTCGAGAGCACATCTGGATCCACCGGCAGTGGGACAGGAGGAGGTGGAGGTGGGGGAAGTGGGAGTTCAGGTGGAGCAGGAGGGAGCCCTGCTGCACCACAGGAGGACCACTCTGAGACTCGACCGTTCCAATGTCATGTCTGCTTGAAGGCATTCAAGCGTAAACATCATCTCACCGATCACCTGCGGCTACATACTGGCGAGAAGAAGTGAGTAATAACAACTATCCAGTGGAATATTGCATGCAACTATTGGTGATTAAAGACCTGTTACCTAGAAATGTTTGAAGTTGGAAAGATGATAATTCAATTCAGCTATGCAATCAAAATGAACCATTCTCACAACCTGGTGCTTCAGATGTATTCAAGAGTCATCTGTTTCTTGTCATCTTGCATTAATTTTTGGGCTTTCTTGTTAGAAGAGAAACCTTTCATTGTGAATAGGTCTACATCTAGAGGTGTCTTGTGCCTATCTGGATTTTCATGTGCTGTGCAAGATCCTTGGCTCTCTGGCTCGAAGCTAGGATTTCCTCTCTTCCTATAAATTTGTGGAGCATTATTTCATCTCATTATTCACTGCATTATCAGATCACAAGAGCAAGAGTCACTGAGAAAGAAATTGGGCACTGAATCTGTAATGATAGATGATCTCACTGCAGATGGCATTTCACTGCTGCATTTGAACACTACCACAATTATTTGAAGAGTCCTGAAGCATTTGAACTTACCTCTCTTGCTGTTCTTCCGCAGGTACCGGTGCCACTACTGCAGCGAGAGCTTCGTGGCAACGAGCGTGCGTGCACGGCACATCACGAAGTGTCACTACCGACCGGAGATTCCAGTGCCGGTGGTGGTCCAAGAAGACGGGTGAACCAAAGACTCCCTCTGGCCCACCTCTTCATCCCTCTCTCTCAATTCTCCCTTAGTCATCAGTCTTGAACCCCTCCAAGAGGAGAGAAATCTCTAGTCATTGAGTCTGTGTACCCTTGATAGACGAGTCTTTTTTTTTTTCAAGTTTTATTTATTTTGGTTCCAAGAGGAAGGAAATTTTCCTCTAGCTGTGTTTTTGTTTGTTGGTGCTGGCTTCCATCAAATCTAGTCAGTGGATTCTTGTCTCGAGGACTTCATCAACATTCCAAAGTGTACGAGGTTTTTCGTGTCTAGGTGTCGTGAGTGTGCGAGCAGGTGGGTTTTAAAAGTAGGCAGGTGGATTTGCCTGACGTGAGGTCATTCATACCTCTCCTGATGCCTGCATGAAGTATCGGATAAATTTTTAGTCAGAGCCTCTCGCTTTTTTTGTAACAAATGAAAGTGAGAGTTTGATCAGTTTCTAGGAAAGTACAAAGAAAGTTCACCTTCCCCTCCTGGGGTTTGCGATGTTTGTCCTTGCCCGGTTTTTGTGATTTTTGCCCCATGTGATTCGTGAGATCAGCTAGTCAGTCGATTCTTCGAGTTGCCAAATTTTTCAGTGGTTTTCATTTCTCAGTGCCATGCAGTAAATTATGCGTAATTTGTTGCAGCTGTCACGATGTGAACTTGGACTGCCTGCAGATGTTTTATTTCGCATGTACTGCTGAAAATTCAAGGTTTTGCCACACCTGATACGCCTGATTTTCAAATTCTTTATTACGTTTCGAGTCCCGATAGGGAATCCGTTCCCAGTACTTTCTCGGTGTGATATTAAGTTATTCGATAAGTTAACGGAACGAGCGTGTGAATACGGGAGAGTGAAACGCAGCTGAGCTGCTTGTCTGAAGTTCTTTCAGGTCTTGCATAACGAAGTCCCCCGATGCGGGAAAACATTCCAATTTCAACATCCCTCTTCCTATTGCATGAGTGTTGCTTGTGCGCGTGGTGTGCATGTCTCGTGTCGGACAGTCGAGGAATAAAAACGTGTCTACCCTAAATTTGCATTTCCATTTTGCATCATCTGGCGAACGGCCCTCTTGTCATTCCGGTGCTAAAGTGACTCTTCGAGTACTTAGTAGAGGCAGAGAATCGTTTGAGTCGCTCTTGAAGCGACTGAATAGATCGTCGAATTGGCGTTCCAACTTCCAATACGTTTTCCTTTTGTTCCAAAAAGGGCACCGTGCCGTAAACTTCAAGCGATTTGTTACACAGGTCACTGCTGCTCTCAAATCTTTGCAATACGCTCTTCAATATTCAGGGTATTTTTCTACATTGTCGGAGTCTCTTATGTTCATTCCGGATGAGATCAATCTTCGTTGAACTTGAAACTGATTCACCCGTGGCGGCGTGACGCCTGGCACCATGCTCTTCGGGTCAACTTTGCATCGTGTCGTCATTCCGTGTCGAACGGTACGAATTTGTTCTGCGTTCTGAATTTGAGTCAGGGTTACGGAATTAGTCGACCGACTCTGTCCTCGTGTGAGGCGCTTGAAAGTGAACATTTTGACGCAAAGGTGAAGTAACAGTTCATTAGTGAAAGCATAAAACCGGTAAATAAAAAAAATTTCCTCCTGCAGAACGGGAAAGGCCTGTCTCCCATTTTTCACCCGTTTTCTTCTTTCGACGGTTTCGTTTTCAGCTCTGTGATGGTACCTTAAATATTGCGAGGTGAGCAGCAGTTCGTTTCCGTTTCTACTGCCATGCGAATGTTATTGAGGACAGGCAGTTCTGTGGACAGTTTTGCGTTTTTACCATTTCACAAAATTCACGCCCAAAATTGACTTCCTCAAATGCTCCATATTCTGCACATGCCTGTCAGCCACCGTATAAATTACGCACACCCATCAACATGAGTGAACTTTAACATTTTCGCGTAGTTTTTAGACGTAGCACCCTTGTGCATCTCGTAATTTCTCCTATGATATTTCTTAACAATCAATGAAGGTGAATAAAACTGCTGTACAGCCGTCCACAAATAGGAACCACGTGATAATAAACACATCCATTTAAACAGCTATTGTTGGAAAAGTATATCTTAAATATTTTACTTTAGGCTTATGAGCAACAATCAAGCGGTTTCTCGGTTACCCCAACGACCGTAACGCAATTTTCAAGAGGAAAATGTCCTTAACTCTACGTTCCTTTTTTTTTTTGCATGCATAAATGTGTTGATATCTTAGTGACCCTCTACTTCCGTCGAACAACGATTCCCCCCCACACTTCTCCGGTTCCGTGCGTGGAGGAGGTGCACCTCCGAGTACACCTCCAGTGAGGAGGTGCGGAGATGAGGTGCACTCGGCTCGTGGACGAGTTGAAAGGCTCCTCGATCGCGCTTCAGCGATACAAAACAGATACAACGAAGCCCGCCAACGTTAGATACTTAACTAATTGCTAATTGCAATTGCTAATTGGGATTGCTAACTTAAAAAAATCGTGGTATTTCCACCGCATTGGTGCTGGAGAGGTGAAATCGATCGCAATTACCCCCTCATCAGGGCAAATGTGACAAGGCCAATCATGCAATTCGGCCGAAACAGTTATTTAAAACAACAACAATTACTAATATTTAAAACAATTATTTAAAACCTGCATACAAGCTGTTTTGTTCTCGTAAGCGTTTTCACTTAATTTAAGCACATTTTCAAGCGATCACGCTTACCCTGTTTTCGGAGTAGGAAAGCTTTTTCGTTCCACGCTTCAAAATATTTATATATATAATATTTATTTGTTCCCGTTTCTTTGAAAATGACAAAATTCCCCGTTCGAGCACGTTTCAATCGATTCGCTTCGAGGAGGAGGAAGTGGATGACATTTATTTATTATTTTCATAGCGGCGGTCACACTTTAATTAAACAGCGTTTCTATGCCGAATTTTTTTTATGATGAAATACTTGCTCTCTCGATCCAAAAAAAATATGCTAGGAAAATACCGCCGAAGTGAATGGAACAGACATTATGCAGATGGCCATGCTAAGTTCCGTGGGCACCGTTTGTCTATATTTACCAAATATAAATGAGAAATGAGGTTTTTGATGGTCGAAGATCGGAAAGAGATGGCATTTTGTTCAATCGGACGACAAAATTTCCTTAATTGAAGAGGGAAGAGGCTCGAGAGGGTCGGGGTTCTTTGTGCGTGCGTGTTCTGTTGTGTCGGCCTCGATCGGCCTGGTTTCCACGAGGCTTCTCGCCGTGCTTTAGGGTCGGGACTAAGCGTGCGAGTCTTGTCGGTAATGTGCTCATTTCTAGGAGTGAAGTTTTTCGTTTTTAAATCCTAGAAAGAACTTTGAAAATTTGCGGCGAAGGTTAGCGCTTACCGACTCCCTGGAAACTTTTTCTCCGTGCGCCTGAAAGAGTTAGAATTCCCCAAACTGCCGCTCTTCAGATTCACACTTGCGCGGTGTGAAAACTCATTCTGCCTCCATAGGAACGACTGAACCTAAAAAAAAGCAACATTTTCGCTACCCGGGAACGAATTTTACAGTCTGGCAGCCATGAAAACCGGTTTGTTAGAGTTGACCTTTGACCTGACCGGGATGACCTTCCCTATTAATTTTAGCCGCATTTCCCGGCCCGACACACCATTACACAACCCTTGAAATCCTTTATTAGAATTTGTTTTCACATTGTAAAAATGTGGACCTTTGGTCCTATTGCAGTGTACCCGAGATGAGAACGCACTAGCGCCATCTCTGCACGGATTAGATAACTGCATCGAGGTGCTCGGCCTAGACCTATTTCAGGAATCCGTTGTAGGCCTGGATGCGAAGGTTTTCTATGATTTCCATTCGCAGAATATATTCATAAGGGATTTCTTTGCTTGATTTTTTTTTTTCTGGAAGTAATGTTATTCCCTTATCATGCCGCGTAAACGGCGACAGGGTAAAATTACTGGGAAAAACCCCGCGCTGATGACCGTGAGAGGAGGTGAATCGCGCGTGAGAGTGATTCTGGCGTTCATCCCTCTCAAGGAACCAGTACCGAGGCCGAACGTTCCCGCGTACACGGAGCAAATGAGACAGATTCCGTTCGGAATACGATCAACGCCTCACGCGAATGTCCCAAAGAGCCCGTGTGCGCAGGGAGAATGAGCCCGATGCCGAACGCTCTGAGAGGAGAGCTCAAGATGCTGCATCGCATGCCGTCGCTAGAGCAATCGAAACAGAGGAAGAGCACAGAGAATAATGGCCCTTTCATCGAGAAACGCGTTTTCTCTAGCAATCCTTATCCAGTCGGCAAAGTCAAAGGTCACTAAATACCCCGTGTGCACACGGGTTTTCGACTAGTGGTTTTACATTCGGCACGTGGTTTCTTTCGAGGTAGGATTTTTACTTGGAAGGCCAGACGACAAGAGATGACGACATCCAGGGTGATCACCACGGCCGATCTAGGGGGAGACCCGGTGCCGACCATGCACCTGACCCGCAAGCCCCCACCGGCTGCTTCTAGACACGCTTCTTGGCTGTCCCAGGAACACTGGGGCAACAATTTTCTTTGAAAATGACAAAATTCCCCGTTCGAGCACGTTTCAATCGATTCGCTTCGAGGAGGAGGAAGTGGATGACATTTATTTATTATTCTCATAGCGGAGGTCACATTTTAATTATACAGCGTTTCTATGCCGAATTTTTTTCATGATGAAATACTTGCTCTCTCGATCCAAAAAAAATATGCTAGCAAAATACCGCCGAAGTGAACGAAACAGACATCATGCAGATGGCCATGCTAAGTTCCACGCCACCGTTTGTCTATATTTACCAAATATAAATGAGAAATGAGGTTTTTGATGGTCGAAGATCGGAAAGAGATGGCATTTTGTTCAATCAGACGACAAAATTTCCTTCACTGAAAGGAGAACCACTACTGGACCCAAGCTTGGTGTAGACAAAGTCTTCTCAGAAATGTCCTTGGAATTCGCACAAATCATTTTTTTCCACATGCGTTCGAGTAGGAAATCACTAGCATGCGAGCCCTTCTCAGAACTGTGGCCCAAGGACACAAATTCTCAAGGTCATTCTACACACACACACACACACACACACACACACACACACACAACAGGCAAAAATACTATGTAAAAGTTGATGACGAAATGACTTATGTAAAACTGAACATCTGATGATGTTGAATACTGACACAAATCAAGACTGGGAAGATGAAGTTTCCTGGGTGAGCCAACACACACACACACACACACACACACACACACACACACACACGAGGAACACGCGATGAGAGATGAATGCGACCTCGTAGGCTCGTGGGGGGTGGGGGATGGGAGGCGTCTGGATGAGAGGAATGAGAGATGCATGATTGCAGGCAGTGATGCCGACGCGTCGAGACGGGGGCTGCAGCGACACGCTCCGTCGGTTTACCCGAGCCTCTAGAGGATCGGGATCTTTGTGCGTGCGTGTTCTGTTGTGTCGTACTCGATCGGCCTGGTTTCCACGAGGCTTCTCTCCGTGCTTTAGGGTCAGGACTAAGCGTGCGAGTCTTTTCGGTAATGTGCGTACGCTCATTTCTAGGAGTGAAGTTTTTTTTTTTTTAATCCTAGATAGAACTTTGAAAATTTGCGGCGAAGGTTAGCGCTTACCGACTCCCTGGAAACATTTTCTCCGTGCGCCTGAAAGAGTTAGAATTCCCCAAACTGCCGCTCTTCAGATTCACACTTGCGCGGTGTGAAAACTCATTCTGCCTCCATAGGAACGACTGAACCTAAAAAAAAAAGCAACATTTTCGCTACCCGGGAACAAATTTTACAGTCTGGCAGCCATTAAAACCGGTTAACGTCTCGCCCTTGGACATTTTTATTCACCTCACGGAAGGCGTCCGACATTTTGGGAAAATCACTCGAGAGCCGCCCACATCTTCCATCCCATGCGACACGTCAAAACGATGCCGACAACTTTTATCTCGCTCGAGGCTCACGAAACTCCGACTCGGTCCCCCCCTTCGTTCTGCTTTCTGAACTAGAAAGTACCAGCCCAGGTACAGATCT